GAGGGTACATGTAAAGAGACTCCAACTGGATACCGCTGCACATGTCAACCGCAGTTCAGAGGAAAAAACTGTGAAAGTAAGAACAACATTAACAATCGACTAGTCAACTAGCTAATCATTTAATCATCCAATCAGTCCATCAATCAATCAAATATCAATCAATCAGAATATCAATCATTTAATCAATTATCAATCAATCAATCATACAAAAGATAAATTAATCGATCTTTCAATCCATTTGCTTCACAAGACAACCAGTCTGTCGATTAAATTTAACGTGATTTACAATAAAGTTTGTAATCAATATTTTGCAGAGGAAAATCACTGCAAGCCGTTTAACCCGTGTGAAAACAATGGACTTTGTATYGAGACAGAAGATGGTTATAAATGTCACTGCAAAATAGGTTATACTGGTTATAACTGCCATGGTAAGTATTTTACTACCACGTGATATAAATAACCAATAAATAACAAACAAAAGTTGGTGAAATAACTTACTGACGTTTCGGACGTAAATCCTTCGTTAATTCCGACGTCCGAAACGTCGGTAAGTTATTTCACCTACTTTTTTACGGTGTTAAATTTATCACACTAGTTTACCGCTAGTTCCCACTATTTTTTCTATCATTGCTGTAGTTGTTGTGAGTGTTAAGTTAGTGCTGCTATTATTGATGTTGTAGCTGGATGAAAGCTATTGTTTTTTGCCTCTTTTTTAGACCGTGAGTTCTGCAAACCCAACCCATGTAAAAGCGGTGGTACGTGTCGTCCCGAGGAAGACTCCTACACGTGCACATGTCCAGTTGGTTACAAGGGAAAGAACTGTGAATGTAAGCTTATATATTCCATGATTCATTACGACTTATCTATCACGTGATATATCCTAGATTACATATCCCATGATTCATTGCTTATCTATCACGTGATATATATCCTAGATTACATATCCCATAATTCATTGCTTATCTATCACGTGATATATATCCTAGATTACATATCCCATGATTCATTGCTTATCTATCACGTGATATATATCCTAGATTACATATCCCATGATTCATTGCTTATCTATCACGTGATATATATCCTAGATTACATATCCCATGATTCATTGCTTATCTATCACGTGATATATATCCTAGATTACATATCCCATGATTCATTGCTTATCTATCACGTGATATATCATAGATTACGATTATCAAAATAATAATCAATGAAGTAATACCCATAGATATTTCCATGCATATTAACGTATCATGTGATGTATCCCACAATCCTCTTGTTCATTAGCACGTGATATGTGCGCGTCCAACCCTTGTTATAATAAAGGCACGTGCATCGACTTGGAGACCGACAAGTACAAGTGCTTATGCCCGCAAGAGTGGATTGGAAACCAGTGTGAAGGTAATATCATTGTTATCATCATTGGAATAATATGCTGTGGTACGTAGATGTCATCTGTTTTAAGGTGATCATTAATAAAYGAGAAATGTACATCTTTTTCTGTTCTATTTTTTCCAGTTGAAAACCCCTGTTATCCAAACCCCTGTTCACACAATAGTCAGTGTAATGTAGTCGAAGGTCACTTTGAATGTAGTTGTTCGATCGGATACAAGGGTGAAAAATGTCAAGGTAAGCTAAGACAAATCAACCTCTGGATTACGGACACTTGTAGAACTCCTGATTATCTAAGCCTCTATAGCACWTTCACCTCTAAATTGCGAGCAGACGCCCTTGTAGTACATCTGCATTACGGACACCTCTATAATACGGATATTTCTATATTACGGGCAATGACCTTCGTATTGTTAGTGTCTGCTCTAAACTACGAAATGACATATATATTCCATGGGCACCTTTAATCAACATTTACTTAAATTGATTACTGAGACGCCATTTTGCAGATGCCCATRTCCGTGTGTATTACTGTCAAGTTATATAATTACAGACGGTTTAGATTGCTAGCATTGCTACTAATAAACTGGAAGCAGGTATCCGCGCCWGTAAGTCGAAAAAGAATAAACGACCTTGATCAAATAAACCGAACCTTAATAAMCGCTTTATACAAATACACAAAAACGCACGACTAATGAAAACGAAATTTTGAAATATGAGCAAGCTGAATATTCGCCTGCCCAGTAAATTTCAAATTTTTGTGGACATGTTGTAATTTAATCGGAATCAAATATAAAATATCGACAAATAAGCCAAGACATTTTAGTCTATTAAATGTCAATCAAATTCTTTGTCACGTGGTTCTCTTGCGATATGATTGGTTCAGTCACATTGCTAAAAGACAGCTGGAGCTTGCAGTAAATACCGCTAGGAAAGAAACTCAAATAAATGAGCGTGAAATGTGAAAAATAGTCATGATCATTTCATCTCACAAAAAATCGCTATAAGGTAAAAATGAGAGAGAAAGTCATGAAGGTAGATGATCAGGAGTCTCGAAATGTGATAAGACAGGTGCAGATGACATATTTGCCCAGCAAAAACAACAAACACAGCAGATGGTCAATTGTCATGTATATACCCCACATAGTCATTTATGTATATACCCCATATAGTCATTTCTCGGTCAAGGTCTCGCTCATTTCTTTCTTATTCAAATCATTTTTAGTTTTTTTTATGTCATTTTATTTTATTTCATTTTTTTAGGTTTTTCTTTTCCTATGCTTCTCATCTCTCTCGTGAGGATTTTTTGTTTTCTAATTCTACTATTTCTTTTGTTTTTCCTATTTATTGATTGGCTTTCTATTTCTACGGAAGTGACAATAGAGTTCTATTATCTCCTCCTATCGTGACATTTAGGTTCTGTCAGCAGGCAAGCACTTTGCCTACTTCTTCCAGCGTATGAAAGGAGAATGCATTTCCATCTATAAAACGTTAATGACTAGTGATTCTGAGATAAAATACCACTTGTCAACGTAAGACTAACTGATCCAAACTTTTATGTGATAGAAATCTAATGTTGGTGAAGCCAGCAAATATAACATTAGCATATAATAATTAAAAATCCATATATCTGAAGGCAGGAGTTCAATACACAATAAATACTACTCAATAATATAGATGTTTGCGTCAATTAATAAAGTTAGGAAGCTAACGTATTGCAAATCAAGTCKATGTGTCTACCTTGACATGTATACAGAAGGAGGATAGCAATCAGAATACATGCAACTTTAATATCTTACCATCACACATTAAGTGAAGTTTAGTTTGTTCATCAAGCAAGTCGGGCTTTAAGAGCACGTATGAAAATTCTGTCAATTCGCGAAGCAAGCGGACTTTTAACGGCTTCCTTTTTCATGAAGCGGGAGGAGAAGCTCAATTTAACTTTGAATGAAGTCCATTGCTGGAGGGCTTTTTAATCACCCAAAACGCGTCTAGTTTGAGGGTTTCAGGAATCGATTAAAGTAGACAATTAGARATTACACTCTGARCTGATCAAGATCTCTATTCGATCCTTAAAACCATTACATCCTGATAGGAAAGGCTTGGTATCATCACAAAGMGYGCTCTTGGTGGACTTGAGTTGTTGGGAGAAAAGCGTAGGCGAAGCTTTCACACTTTCCCTATACATCAACTGAGTTCGATTTTAAAAGCAATAGAATTTACAATAACAAAGTGATCAGGAAACATCGTTTGATAAAAGGGGAATTACAGTGAAAAAGAACGAAGGACGGAAAGTGAAGAGAAAGACTAAGAAAGGAACATCACCTAAAGAAGACGAAGACTGAACATGAATAGTACAGCTAACCAAACGTACTCTTACTGCAAGTACTGGTCGAGACGAGAAACAGAAATAATGAGAACAACTAAAATCATGTCCGTTATTGTTGTTGGTGGATTTGCGTTGTTTGGGAATATCGTGATTATTTTGCTGTCTGCAAAATACACACTTCGCAAAAACATCAATTTCATGATTATCAACATGGCGGTGTCCGATATGCTTGTCGTAGTCATGTATTCCTCGTTGAAAATACGCGAAAATATCAACATGGCAATTAGTCATCCATCTATGGACGTAACAGACGATATTGCTGCAACTATACTCTGTAAAATTACTAAATTCCTTGAAATGTTTGCTAAGCTGGTGACTTTGATCAACCTTCTGATCCTCAGCGTTGAGCGCTTCAGAGCAACGCGCGTGGGAGCTCTCAGGATTAATCCACGCACACGCGTGAAGTACTATTGTCTTCTTGCCACCTCGTGGCTGATTCCAATGATACTCGCAGCTTACAATCTGCACTTTTGGAAAAGTTGGCATATCAAAAAATGGAAAGCATCRATTYGTATCWCWRTTGGTAATRTACTTCCTTGGTATACCATYGTCACGGCCATCTTTGTACTGGCTTTGATAACGATCGCTGTCGTTAGTATCYTAACGCTTCGTTCTCTCTCGACATCTCGWGCCATCGTCGCTGAGCTTTGTGACGCACACAAACAWCTAAGAAACAAGCGAATGGCATGTGCAGCAAAAATGGTGCTGTGTTCCCTGTTACTTTATGGCTGTTGTTACATTCCTACTTTTTCATTAGATGTTTTCATCATATTATTTCATTACAGGATTGCTTCTTTTACGGTCTGCATAGACTGGAAGAATATAGTCTTTGTAACGGATTTCTTGTTGATTGTGAATTCATGTTTTAGTCCTTTTGTGTATATCATCTTTCTTAGAGATTTCAGAGAGGCAGCAAAATGGCTGTTGTTTGCCCGACAAGTCGAAAGGTCATCGAAGGAGACTATTGTCCAACATACAGCATACACTACTACTAAACTATGATATAAAAAACATTCTATTAAGAATCCTCTTTCTGCTCCTAAAGTTCTTAAGTGTATTCAAATTTCTTCACGGTTTTTGGCAAAGCAAAACTGCCTGAAAAATTAAGATGGATACATCCCCAGAACAAAAAAGCGTATCACAATACTTGGCTCATGTTCAATATTTGGTCTCTGATCGTTGTATACTATATTTGGTCTAAATTTTCTAGTCAAAAAATAAGGCGTAATAATTAAGCGATGCGTGTGTGTATAAATATAGAATATAAATCACAAATAATAAACTATGTTGTCTTGGAACTGATGTATTTGTTGATTGTACTGTTTTTTCTACTAGTCGATCCGAGACTTTACCTTCCTTACATTTAAGATTAAGATTAAAACGAAAAAAGTTCTTTCCGTCTTGAAACATGGCGGTAATCTTAAACTACTGAGAAATTCGGAACAAACAAAGAATGAATAATGACAAATTATTCCTTGTCAAAGGAAATGAAAAGAAAAAAAAAACTATTATGTCACTGAAGCTGAGGTGGTCCAAGAGTCCACTATGGCCGAGGGAAAAATACCTCTATTAAAGTTATACCGTGTGTTTTTTTCTATTGGTTAAAATTAGACTATTTGATACCGCATATTTCATATAGTATATTGAATTATATAACAATACCAAAGTCCCAGGACATCTTATGTTAGAAAACAATTGAATTCAAGATGGAGGTTAATAGTCAACCAATTCGTTGTTTATTTGATTGTACAGAAAAGGATCTATGCCAACCTAATCCATGTCATCATGATGCTACTTGCATTCAACGAGATCAAGAAAACTATGACTGTAACTGCAAACCTGGATTTCTTGGCAAGATATGCGATGGTAAGATTCATATCTCAAGGGGGGTAGGGAATGGGCTAAACGGTTATCAAGATTATCTTCTGCGTCATTAACAACATCACCGGATTTTAAGGACAGCACTTAATGTTGTTTACATATAGTATCTTTATAGTCACAACAAACTTGTTCATTGTTTAGTTTTGATTTATGGTACTATCCACAATCGTGAAGCAAAAAGGTTTGAGGACATTTACGTGAATATACACCACCATGTTATAGTATAAAATATTGAAGAGCATTGCCCCACCCCTCCCCATTTCAGTGTTGGACTTAGAGTGGATGCTCGATGAGTCTGAAGACTCACCATTGTATGTCTGGGTGAGGGGTGATGATTGGTGGGTGGGGATGGGGGAAGATATGTGTGGTTAGGGGTGGGCAAGGGGAGAGAATGGATGGTTCTGAAGAGGATAAATCTCATCGCAGTGCATATGTAAATGTTTTTGTCCAGGATTGTAGCAGTGTCATTCAGTGTTCGTAATTRTACAGTATTCCAGTTGCCATCACTTTTTGTTAAAAGTGTTAAATGTTATGGTACTTACGTCGCAATGCTTCTTCAGTATGTATCCTCTGTTAACTAAGGTTCAACCATTCACGTACTGTATCCTAGAGTAAAGCTTCAATGTATCTGGTATTGACTTATGTTGCCCTTTAGGAATCGATTCATGTTTCTCTCAGCCCTGCATGTTCGGGGGAACCTGTATCCAACAAGAGGACAGTTTTAGATGTATGTGTGAAATCACAAGAGCAGGCAAAATGTGTGAAGGTATGRTTGACTACTTTGTCATGAACTATTTTAAACACAATCATTGTTAATATCAACACTGATGAATTAATTGAATCATTTCAGCTGTTAACCCCTGCTATCCCGATCCATGYCATAATAAAGGGGTCTGCACTGGATTTCAAAACGGAGAGCCTCAGTGTCGGTGTGCGGTCGGTTTTGTGGGGTCTATTTGTGATGGTATGTCATTTTTACTCGAAATAAACCCAAAGTACTCACTAACTCATAATTTTATTACTTACGGGCTGCTTCAATTTAGATATTCTTTTGGTAAAAGATTTTAATCAAAAAGCGTAAAAAATATGGCAAAATTGCTGTTAACGTTAATATTTGTCTTGAGAGAGGATGCAGGATCAATAATATTAGTCATCTAATAGAGGATATGACATGGCCTCGCGGAGATACGGATTTTATCTTCAAGTGTTGAAAAGATCTCTCACGAGTGAGAAAATTATGTCTTGAACTACCTTTTATCTTACTTCCACTATATAGAGAAACCTCGAATGTGTTATTTTCACTAGTAAAAATAACAACTTCACGAAATGGAGAAATATAGATATTTATAGATAATTATATGAGAAATGAGAAATATCGGATGATAAATAATAATATTGYATGTATATAATAGCGAACAGGCTGAGAAGGAAAGTTTGTTGTTTGTTTTCAGCCGTCGATCCATGTCTCAACAATCCATGTCATAACAAAGGGACATGYGTCAATGTTGGCAGCTCGTTTAAGTGTAAATGTACTGCTGATTACGTGGGACATCTCTGTGACGGTAAGTAACTTTCCTGGTTTAAAGAGTGTCAAACAAACCACTAGATAACAACTATTTACAAGAAACTGACCATATATTTCACGGTTTAATTTGCGTAGTGAGATCAAAGTGTGTACCTAACCCGTGTCAAAAYGATGGTACGTGTAAAGACGTTGCAACAGGGCTTGGCTTTGCTTGCCAYTGTAGTGTGGCATACCTTGGTCCGACWTGCAATAGTAAGTATCCTTGAATAAGCCTATCACATCAAGCGTTATATTCAAATTAAGTCATAAAAGTTATCTATACACCAATAAGAGCGCACGTTAGATTCTTTAGTTTATTATCAGGCAGCCAATAAGAGTGCGCCATATACAAGCATTATTGGTTTAATCCTCCAATCAGAGCTAGCGTTGTATGAAAGTTAAATCAACGAATGACAACACGTGTTAGATTAATCATTGTATCATTTTCTAGAGCGCAATCTATGTCACCCCAATGATCCATGCAAGAACGGTGGTACATGTAAAAGTGATGGTATAATAGTAGGCTGCCAATGCAAGCCGGGATACCTTGGGTCACATTGTGAACGTAAATATGACAATTTGAGKTTTTTGTACAGTTGGTCTATTTTTTGACAACAAAATTAAAAGAAATACGAACTTTTATCTATCGCTATCTGTTTAAACAGAGATGAACTTTTGCTATGGTAACCCTTGTCACAATGGAGGTACATGTACACCTAAACTAACTGACTACGAGTGTGACTGTCCGGAAGGGTTCTTCGGCAAGTCATGCAACGGTACGTAYTGGWTATGGAGCCATGGGACGTCGKTGTAATTTATCATTAGACTCAAATACATCAACTAGACGCTKATCATAAAAGTATGCATGATATCCATAAGGGTTATTCCAGTTAGGAAAACGAAAACGACATTACAAGAAAGTTGAACATTGAAATATTATATTATTAAACAGTTAGTTGTTTTGTTAYAGCTCAAAGCAGCGCATGCGTCCCATCTCCMTGTAAGAAYGATGGACTTTGTACCGAGTATAAGAGCAAAGATGGCTTTGTTTGTATTTGTAAAGATGGATTTATAGGAAAAACATGCGACAGTAAGTAACATGAATGAACATATGGATATTTAATGGGAAATGAAAATTAAAGAGAAGAAAGAAAGTTGAAAGAATTAAAGAACGACAAATGAAAATTGAAGTGAACTTGAAAGAAATATGAAAATATGTGGGAAAGAACGACTAAATGAGACGRGATGGMATTAATGAAAAAATGAACGAAWCATAACTGAATGTAAGAATGGATGGATGAATAGATTTYAATCCTGYTTGTCACAGGGCAAGATGCCTGTTCTCCAAATCCTTGTCAGCACAACGGAACCTGTCTTCAAGCCCAGACCCACCGCGGTTATCATTGTCTGTGTCATAAAGGATGGCATGGGTACTCTTGCCAACGTAAGTCCCTATCTCACTAGCCCTAATTATTACAATCGATAATATCYATGATATTCATTATTGACCATTAGGTATTGATCGATGTAATCCTAATCCCTGCTCGAATGGCGGCTCTTGTTTTAACATCGATGACGGACACYTGTGCCAATGTACAGAGGGATTTCAAGGACCGAATTGTGGAGGTTAGAAATGACAAAATATAAAACAAATGAAAACAAATGCAAGGGAAGAAACTAAAGGAAACGGCTAAAATGAACCGGATCAATGGGAAAATATAGGAAATGAAGAAAAGAGATTCAAACGAAACTATGAGAAATGAATAAAACGACGCGAATCAAAACGAAAAAAATGGAAAATATTCAAAACGAAACGAGTCAAAACRAAGTAATATACTTTTATAATATACTATATATTTTATTTTTTTGATGTTTTGTTGATATTATTCCCATAGTCAACAAGTGTGATAGATGTGATGACAATGCACAGTGTATCAAAGGRATTTGTGAATGTAAATCTGGATTTATTGGGAATGGATTCACTTGCACTGGTGAGAAAAACTTTGATGATAATAATACCTAATGAGCTGTGAACAGGAGATCAAATTTTCTTGGTCATATCTTTGAAACTTGCTCAGGTTTCATGGTGATGGATGTTTTTGCCAACGACACCACATCACTCACATTTTTATAATAAACTGACATAAATTCAATTTGAATTGAAATATTGACTCAAGAATTGTTAGAAGTTYGGGCTGTATGTTCTGGCTGGAGAGCCCTGTAAATCTACCTCAGATGATTGAAGTGTTGCTAGCTGATTGTGCAATTTTGGTAAAGTTTTATTCCAAGCTATAATCAGCTTACCTTTGATTGACAGCATCAGGAGATCCATGTACACCTAATCCATGTGACAACAATGGTGTGTGTTTACCTGGCCATGGTGGGAACCCTGTGTTCCAGTGTACCTGTCGTCCTGGATTCACTGGAGAGAAATGTCAAGGTCAGTATTAAATAGATCATACATTACATGGCTAAGTCCCTATAACAGTCATAATTAAATGACTGTATGGAATGGAATTGAGTACAGCAGTAGCACCAACATATTATAAAAAATCTTASATATTTTTATMCTTRCATTCCTGCAGTATCCATGAGTGCTTGCAATGCTCGTCCTTGTCTGAATGGCGGCCTCTGTGTAGACATCACTAACAACAATGGKTCYCTATTGGACGGTATCTTCCTTGTTAACCCAGCTGACTTTACTTGTGTYTGTCCTAAAGGRTATGCAGGRCAGAGGTGYGCCAGTAAGTATTYACWGTCCATTGGTTTAAACAACAGATGTGATGTGTCTTGACAAAATACTGATATTTTATTCATCATTATTTGATCAGATTCACAGAGCTGGTATATCAATTTAATGAACAGCTGTCTATGGATACTATAATGCTGAATATGCATTTTAATACATATATAATAGAGGCTGTATTAATTATTATTATTAATAATAATTATTAATTGATTAATTTGCAGAACTTGTCCTAGTGAATCCATGCAGCAAACATCCATGTGAACACGGAGGGACATGTTACGATGACAGTAATAGTGCAGGAATGGATCTAAAACTTATTAATGCTCTTGATTTCCGCTGCTATTGTCATGGAGAATATAGTGGCAARACTTGTCAAGGTAGGACTGTCATACATCTCAGCCTTGTGTATTTTAACAACAAGCATTCACACAAGATTCAAAGTATTTTGTGTCTTGCCTTTAGTTGTATCAACATTCCCTATTGAGGATGTATGTTATAAACATTAGAGGTTATGTGATGGCGAAATCATCCATTGTTTAAAATTACATACACATTAATTTTCTAACTTTTGCACATTTTTTGGCTTTTGGTAAGCCATTGCTATACTATCAAAGGTATAAGGCTTAAATTATAACAGTATTAACACATAATTCCTTTGGCTCTGAAATAAAGAGATCGCTGAATTTCAATTATCATCAGTACAGGGAAAACTGTCTTATCCTCTAAACATAAGCCGGATCCCATAAGTCTCCTTAGCCTTTCCTGTATCAAGTGACTGTCAAAGGAGGCATGTTTCTTAATGTTAAAGTAAATTCAATTAATCTATGGATTGCTAACCYACAGCTCTACAACCTGCTTGTCATTCCTCCCCTTGTTTGCATGGCGGTACGTGCATCGATTCATCAAACACAGCCGATGTTGCATTCAACTACAATGGCTTCAAGTGCCTCTGTCCTACTGGATTTCTTGGAAGCAACTGCGAAGGTAAACATTAACTCAAATGACCTCTAACTTGATGTTCAAGCGACCAAGAGCGATCAACAAATAAGCGTACTTAAATCAGGACAGTTTATAGCACTAAGAATTGTGAATCAGTGGATTATGTTCATTGCCGTCTTACCAAATTGAAGTCTAACCTTCGCATTATTTGCCCACAGTCACTGAGAAGGATAGCCCGGAGACTCTTCAAGCCTTCGAAGGTATAAACAACTCTACACAGTGTAATAATCTAGAACATTGTAGCGTTAATAACTCCAAGTTTGAATTTGGCGGCCATTTTGAGACGAACTTGTCCAGGCCTCACGATAGGTCGAGATGGTACTGGGAACGAGATTGTTGAAAAATCTAAATGGCCGACAAAAATTTGTCTTTTTTATGAAAAATAGTTCAATATTTGCTTACAGTGAGTTAAATTTACAGGGTCAAGGATTGCAGCTCTCGCAAGTCACGGGATTGCAGGAGAAGCAATTACTCAAATACCTTACGTGACAGATAACGCTGGTAACGCAATCATTCACAATGAATTGTCACCAAAAGTATCGATCAAAGTCAAGACTCATCCTTCCTCGTCACCAGTTCTYGTCGTTTCCGGGCCGCCCGGCCCAGGAAGTCCGGTATCCCCTCCACCTCCATCCGGTTTAACCATCCCAGAGATTCAGCCACCCGTTACTCAAAACTCGGATGGTGGAAATACCCGAGGAAATGTCCCAGCGACAACACCYGATGTCCGGTATTCTCTTCTGAATGTATTCAAGAACGCTAGATATAATCCCCGATACGCAAATAGCTACACGGGATATGACAGCTATACGGGAAAGGCTCAGGGCAGTTTGTCGGCCTTCCAAAGTCCATCCCCGTATACTAGTGGTGGGTATACCGGTAATAATTCACCGTAYACTAGGGGACAACAGTGGTATCCATATGGACAACAACAGGCATWTTACCCTACCCCGCCCACTCAAAACACAGGTACAAAGTTTGGACAAAATATTTCATTTTAGTCACAGAAAGTATTTTATTCGTTTATTCATCCATTATGTCATAAAGCCATCTTCATTTCAATTATCAAGTATTCGTGCAGTTTCTGTTACTACTGTGAGATCCATGATTTTTTTCGATTATTTACCAATCACTATGTTTTGATCTTCAGGATACCAATATAACTGGGGACAGCCTCCTTATAGTGCCTACATTCACAGCAAAGATGAAAATCACTTACAGACTTCTTACCACAGACACTTCAAGAGAGACAGTGAGAAAACGCACAACAATAAAGATAACAAGAAAACTAACTRAACAAAACGATTTATGACGTACAACCGATGATCGGTTAAAAGAGARCAGTTCTCAGAAACCACCATAGCAAAAGCAACGRGCATCTTTTAGCCGATTGCAAACAGTTTTACTTTGGTATATGTAAAGATATGCACATGTATCTGAAACTTTTATAATAAAACACTCAATGAAAACTAAATAATATTGTCTATTTATATCAAGATTTCATTACGGACTGGAAACCCCCCATACATAACATATATAACCCTTGATGAGTCCGGAATCATTTATATTGTTTGATATCTTTGTTCTGTGTACCATGGAATAACATTACGGACTGGAAACCCCCCATACATAACATATATAACCCTTGTGAGTCCGGAATCATTTATATAGTTGTTTGATATCTTTGTTCTGTGTACCATGGAATAATCTACAGTGAGTTCCTTTCCCAAAATATTCATTAAAATATTCCAGTCTCAACTCTCATACTTCCAGACATGAATGAGCACTAGCTCTGTGTCTTTAATCAAGAATTAAAGTGAATTAGACTTGAAAAAACGTTGACATGAATTCGTTCTAACAACTCACAACTCCTTGGCCGTCAACGCRCATGTGCATTATTTGAGGTCCTAAACAATGTGGGATAATCTGGAATACTATATGAGCATGCGTATTAGCACATGGGGAATTTCGCGCGTGTAGCTCCCATCTATCGCGTCCCTCGCACACGAACCATAAGACCTCATTCTTTTAATGACGATTTCGTTTTAATTTCTCTCCGTCATAAAATGTTACATWTCAGTGAATTATCGTTGGGTTAAGTGATGTTATAACAGAAAAGCTGTCAAATGATTAGAGTGGCGAATCAAATCCAAAATAACCGTTAAAACCCTATCCCTAARGACGCCKTTGACTAAGAGAGATAGCATGAAAAGAAATCAAAATTCCCAATGCAACGTTTTARCACTGTTTATTTAGCAAGTGCGGCGCATGTTTATATATGTGTTGACAAGTTTTTCTTTCTAAGTGACAACATTACGTCTAAATCCTTCTATTGACATCATGAATTATTAAAGCCATGTGAAAAACTGGACCTGTTCGGTGAATGTATTCCCGGCTCACCATGTCACGAATGACTAGAGCCACCCAATAAGATACAGGTATTGTGCCAATGGTACGTAAGACTAAATGGACCAGTCAACCAAGAACCAACCTCTTATCTCTATATATTGATCAAAGAAATGAACTTAAAATTGAGATACCTATTTTGTCTATTGTTAGTTTTGTTTTGTCTTTTAAGYGAATGTAATGGACATAAGAAGATTCAACGACGAAGTCAGCGCAATGTTGAGACTACGACAAGCGACCAAATACAAGATAACACTACCAGTTTAAAGTACTCAAAAACCAAGAAGTCAAAACATGTAGACTCAAGGAAGGTACGACACATAGCAACAAGAAAGGTCAACAATCCTGGCAGCCAATTTCGTAGTCGTCTACCTCTCACAGCGAGAGGAAGGAAAGAAATGAAACGTCAATTCATCCTTCGACCGCCATCTCAACAGTTTTCATTCATGGGTCAGATGCAGAAGCCACCGTTCTTGATGATGAAACCCCCGCCATTGACCCAAAAGACAGTTGTAACAACACATATACCAAGACCTCCCATTGCAATTCCATTCAACCCACTTTTAATGAATCACATAATGCATTCGTTGCATGGAGGAATGCACTCTCCCTTTGGAATTATGGGAAATAATGACATTATGAAGACATACGAAGATGACGAGGTCGACGATGACAGCGGTATGTAGTGTAGAGATTAACTGATCCAAATCAAAGTACTAAAACAATTTACACTTCCTTTTTCACCAGGGTTAGTATCATATAACGATTTTATGATTGCAATATAGTGTATCTTATATCAGTACGTGGATGAAAAAAGACAGTTTTACTGGTTATTTCAGTGCGACATGTGATTGTCTACGCAAATGTCATAATAAGTTTCCTCTTTGTAGAGAGTGATTGTGATTCCAATCCATGTCAAAATGGAGGAACGTGCAACGAGGTGAAGGGAGGCTATGAATGTATTTGCCCGCATGGATTCAAGGGATCAGATTGTGAAGGTAAAGCAAATGAGCAAACAATAAACAAAACACTACACAAAAACAAGTGTAAGAACAGAAAGTAGACAAAATGACACTAATCAATAACACAGATCAAAAACAACAAGCAATAGCGACAATAAACAAGCAAAACAAACGAGTCAAAACAAACCTTGATGCAAGCAATGGTCTTCTATAGATCTCAGATTAATTCATCCGACAATAGTCCAGACATAATACGATAAACTAATTCTTCCAAGCCTATGTCGAAATGGAGAGAGAATATCAAATAGAAGTGTTTTTTTCTGTTACTGCCCTGTTCTTACATATAGCGGCTAGGCCCCGGGTTAAACGTCGAATCCCGCACGTGCTGAAGTCAATGTAAATTACCCCATTATTTTGTTTCTTCTTACTATCGTTTCATATGCATTGCAATCGACACATGTAACAATCGACGTTTGACCAATTAAGACCTTTCACACATTCATTATATACTATGATTTCATTGGCAGAAGAGAACAAGTGTCATCCCAATCCATGTCGTAATGGCGGTGTATGTACAATGGCTAATGGTGGTTACGTCTGTACGTGTATGCAGGGCTACAAAGGAACCAATTGTGAAGGTAGAGTCAACATCAATGATGCACTAAAACGATTTACTAATTCGTGGGATACCTGTGTATTAAGTGAGRCGACTTTTCTTATAATCTTAGAACGAAACAAATGTCAGCCGAATCCATGCAAGAACGGTGGGTCATGTACAGAGGTTGATGACGGCTTTGAATGCGCATGCCCACCAGAATTTAAAGGCGCAATGTGTGATGGTAAGACTTCTCCATGRCAACCAATACATGACCGTCCTATATAGAGTAGGCATACAAGACATACAATGTTTTGCTAAAACTGAAATCATTGCTTTACTTCTAGTTGAAAACCGATGTTTTATGAATCCATGTCTCAATGGCGGAACGTGTATGTCGAACTTGGCTTCATTCAGCTGCGCCTGCCCTGAAGGATTCAGCGGCCCTTCCTGTGAAAGTAAATAGACTTCGTATTGTATTGACAGCAATGGAGTTATGTCAAACGATGTATCATACTTGATTTTAATCTCTTTCTTTCCTGAGAATTATTATTTTGTCCCTGAATATATTCACCTTATAATCGAAACTCACCCTTGTGTGATATTAGGCGCGTCCAATGGTGATACTTATTTCAATGGYGRTAGCTTATTTTTTCTTKTGGTTGCAGTTGAGAGCAAGTGTCGCAGCAATCCATGTAGAAATGGCGGCTCGTGTTTTGATAACCATAACTCCTACACGTGCGGATGTTTGCCAGGATTCTCAGGAATCAATTGTGAAAGTAAGTTCTTCAGAAATTGTGAATTGGTTGTCAAGAAGTATTCTAATGATTCTCGTTTGTATAGGTATGGTATCGTCATGTGA